CTATCTTAGTATCAGTCACTCTAAAACTCGATTTTGTCGATAGAGTGCTTTTAAAATTGGCCGTAGACCTGGCCAATCACTAACACCTATCTGATTAAAAACGTCCGAGGTTAACAATATCTCGAAGCTTGAGTTCAAGTGGCCAATCATCGGCCACATTTTAGCTATCAAGAAGTCACCTGCTGCAGTCTACCGTGCACTGCTTTAAGCTGAATTAGCCGCCAAAAGTGCATTTTTTCAGAAAGCTCTGCAACCTACATGCTAATGGACCAGTTTACGGCCGCCAGCCAATGGCTGCTCAAAATCCTCTCCCTGTCTCTCTCTCTCTTTCTCTCTCTCTCTCTCCTTCGATCCCTCCCTCCCTCCCCATCCCCACCAAATTTCAAGATGGCCGCTGTATTGAACAGTCATTGCAAACTCGGTCGGCGTGCCAGGCCGTTTAAACGTCCGGTGGCTGGAATTGCGTAATTAGCTGTTTACATATTTTCCTTACTTACTTCTTGTTGCCTTTGAGGTGCTTTTATCGTGGTACTTTAACTCTTGAGTTGATTTTAAGACGGGCAAAACGGGCATAAGGAGTATCCAAGGTATATACCTACCAGAGCGCCAAAAGTAACCTGCCTCAGGTCAAATTTCGGACTTAGGCATGTAGATGCCCGACTCCGGACGCATGTTACAACGTTGAACCTCCCTTGACTACTTAAACTTGCGCACCGATTACAGTCTGGTTCTCGGCTAATGCCGACTGTCCAGACTGGCCAATCATCTTCGAGGTTGACTCAGACATGATCTTGCTGAAGACGCTGGATGACTACCCCGCTGTCTGACACTCGCGGCGTCGGAAGTGTCCTCCTCCGACTACCAACTCCTACCAACCTCATCTCTCGTAGTTTTGTACTGAATACAGCACCCTCTCAACTGGCGTCCCAGTCCTATTTCTGATCGAAATCGAGCGCGAGTATAGTAATGGCTAGTGTCTCTCTCTGGACTAAGCTGCTGCGACGGGTACTCCGGGTGACAGGAAAGTTAGTGCCCAAAACTGAAAGAGGACACTCGCAACAACCGAGTATATTCACGTCGGGGTCACCAATTTCTAAGCGGGTAAGGAAAGGAAAGCAAATTAATCATCATGCCCGCTAGGGACAATTTTACCACTTGAAGAGAGAGAGACTTGACGGGGAAGATCGCACTTTGTAGCTAGACATTATGAGTTGCTGCTGTCGGCGTACTTACTTGTAATCCGTTGGTGTGTTTTCCTTGCCGAGGAAATTTGTTATTAGTAGGTGTGTTTCTGATGAGTTAGACAGGTCGTCCGTTTCGGTCAGGTCGTTGGGCCTAATGAGGCTTAGGGTTAGGCTTGTGATAAATTTTGGGGTTACGGTTAGGGTTTGCGATTTGGGGTTAGGGTTTTAGGGTCAGGTTTTAATGTTAAGGTTAGGGTTATGTTTTAGGGTTAGGGTTAGGGTTTGGGGTTAAGGTTAGGGTTAGGTTTTAGGGTTAAGGTTAGGGTTAGGGTTTGGGGTTAGGGCTAGGAGTTTTGGGTTAGGTTTATGGCTTTATGTTTAGGTTTTAGGGTTAAGTTTAGGGTTGGGTTTTATGGTTGAGGTTGGGGTTTCGTGCTAAGGTTGGAGTTAGCTTTTAGGTTAAGTTTGGAGCTCGGATTTAGGGTTAGGCTTAGGATTTTTGGATTAAGGTTAGGTTTAGGTTTGAGGGTATATTTAGGCTTAGGGTTAGGGCTTAGTGTCAACGTTACGGTTTTAGTGTTAGGTTTAACGGTTAAGGTTAGGGTTAGGGTTAGGTTTTAGGTTTAGTGTTTTGGTTAGCGCTTTACGGTTAGAGTTAGGGTTTTTAGTGTTAGGCTTTCTTCCCCATTCCGGGCTACGAACTGCGATCTGACCACTTGACGTCGCCAGAAGCAGTTTTGTACTCTGTACAGAGGCAAGGCCACGAAGTCAGGGGCACTACTTTCGGGTGGCCGCTGCGTGTGACCAGTCGGTGTCCAGTTCTCGTCATGGACGGCAGTGATTCCTGAACGCCTGCGACCTGTCGGGAGCTCCAACTCTCCAGGGCGGCCGTACGAGCTAGCAACGGCAGCGAATGTGATTCCAAAGATCACTTGCGTTGGAACAAGGAAGTTAGACGTGTGTTGCCGGACGTCAAAGGGGACGGCGAGTGAATCATCAAACACATGTCTCCGCAGCCTTTCTGATCGTGCCGTACGCAAAACAAAAGTACTGACTTTTTTAAAGTACTGCTTCGGAGGACTTTTCAATTCTCTTCCAGTAAGATTCTAGGCAGATGAATCCCCCAAAATATGCCTGCTCAATGTGTCCGCACCTATGTCCTTCCTCTGACAGAATAGCCTTATTAGCGCTATTTCGGCTTTATCGTTATCTCTCATCCTTCTTTTCATACATTTTACATCAGTGATTTCGTCCTGTAGTGTAGCTCCGTGTTATGAGGATAGCAATCTTACTTATGCCGCATTTTGGCGCGAGAAAACGGTCCTTCCATGTTGATGCCCTACTGTGAATCGTTGTGATCATTCGCTGTTAGTCACGTTTTTGCGTGATAATGTCGACTGCAGTCTTTGAGTCTGGCGAAATGAAACCCCTAAATGACTGAAGTAGCAGTGACAGTCACAGGGTAACAAACAGATAATCATGGGGAAATGTTACCGATCAGTATGACACAAATGACCATTCGTAAGCACCTCGTCTTTGTCGGCAACTGTTCTTCCTCGCGGGATTGTTTCATAAGCCTTCCGTCAGACGCTTCTCTTACTACGGAACGGCCGAAGTCAGATGTCGTGGAGAGGAAGGGCGCGATAACTTTTTGCCCAATCGCGTGCGCCGACGATCCTATTTCCACAATGGCGCTGTTAATACTACTGGTTTGTTATCAGTAGATCCGATTTTATCATTATTTTTACGTCACTACGGCCAAACAGAGCAATTGTGCGGTGCGTGTGCTAACTCACGAAATGTCATGAGTTTGCGCGCGAAAATCCCTACAACGCAAAATCAACCTAATCTGCGTTCCTCGGAGTCTTACAGTAGCGAAAAACGACTGTTCTTAAAAAGAAGGCGTACTTGGGCTTATCAATTAGTATTTACTAACGTAAAAGCAATTAATTTCTTCAAAAACTAGAGACTGGTTCCTCAGCTCGTCGTCAGACTTCTGGGTCATGTGCAAAAACAATTAACTATTTAACCGTGTCGAACAAGTGATTATGTGGTTGGCCGAAGCCTGCGCCAATGAGCGTCAAGGGCTTTTATTCATCCCCTCGGCATTGTCTGCGCTCGCTTCCATTTGTCCTTGGAAAATTCGAACCTGGCATCTAAATCGATATGCCAATTTATTCATGTCTCGTCTGAGTGCATTGCTTCCAGGAATTCGCGGTTTTTCCTTATTGGGGAGGCGACAACAAAGCGAGTCTTCTCCCATGCAAATTTGTGCCCAGTGTACAGTGTGTGATATATGATCTCGTCTAATCACCGCCAACTGATGCTCACGTATCCGGGTCAAGACAGATTTCCCCAGTCTGTCCCAACCCGCATACAGCATTCAGCCAATCATAACCCTGAGCACCAGCTGGGACCGGAAACACAAACGTGCGCACAGACGCACCTGACGCAGTTGGTCCACCACTGGGGTCTACCAGATGGGTCATAAGCACTTCATCGAAACGAAGTTCATCAGTGCCTCGCCACCAGTCATTCTCTGTTGCTGGAGATCGGGTATTTACTCACTCAGGAAGCAAACAAGCTTCGTATGAGTGATGGGGGGTCACGAGCAGGCAATCACCTAGCAGGCCGAAGTCAGCCAAGCTATGATAGCAGAGGGAGGACACGACAGAGTCTGGGGGGTAAAATGATACAGCACTGTTTCAGGCTTGTTCGCCTTTATTCAGCCAATCATAGCCTTGACCACCAGCTGGATCGGAAATGCGAACATTCGCACGCACACCTGACACAGCTGATCCACCACTGGCGTCAAACAGAAGGGTCATTAAAACTGTTCTACAATGTACTTTATCCGATCTCGTATTGGCGGAGTTTATAGGGCCGCGAGTCATAGGTGTTTCCAGGCAACCATAATGTTGATGAAGCCTTAGAAAAGTTCCAGTTAGAAAGCGTAAAATTTCAGCCAGACTGGATTGCTTTAATCTACTTTGCCTTCTCTTACTACGGAAAATAAGTTGTCTCGGGGGGAGGTATGAGCGTACAGCTCCGACTATGATAACGGACAGTGTGCTCAACTGCGTATGACAGCAGCCAGCAAATAACATCGCTCCACCGATCCCCTTCTCGCTCCCTGGCTGATTGTATGTTCTCATCTGAGGCATAAGTACGTAAACCCCATTCAAAACCGCATCTCAGATTACTACGTCAACTGCAGTTTTTCCGTGTCTACTTTCTCGACAATTAGCCAATTAAACGAAGGCCACTGTTTAACAGAAAAGAAGTGTATTTACTGTCCTAGATGTAATGAGAATGGTGGACAAGCCCACAATAAATGCATCTTACAACGCCCGCTCGGACAACAGAGACAAGACGGGGAAATGCAGACCAGCAGGTCACTGGAGAGGGAGACGAGAGGAGGAGGAGGAGGAGGAGGAG